TCCCTGACCAAACAGGTCTGTTTTGCCATCTCTGCTAATTCTGCCATCTTCACAATCCATTTCTCCATTGGGGGTATTTCAATACTTCTCCATCTTCGTGCATATAGTAATCTTGCTGCAGTTATCATATATAAAATCAATCTTCCATAAGTCTTTTCTAATTGACTATCCATAAGTCTCGATAAGAAAAGTTCTGGTTTCATCTCAATATTAGTCTTCAAAAATTTTTGTATCATCATATATATTTGTTTCCTTTTTTTTCTTTTTCACAAGTCCACCATGAATGGTAAAATGTCTCTTCATGTTTTTCACATTTCTAACATTGACTAGAAGTAACTTTATGCATCTTAGATAATTTAGCTGGTGTCATATACCAATGGTACATCATTTTATTAAAAAGCTCTTTTAAATTATAACATAAGGTGAATGTCAATCCTTTTAAATATATTCAGTATCAAGTGCTACCTCAACTTTAATATCTTGAGACTGTCTAATGAAGGAAGTTAAGTGTTCAAGAACCAAATTAAAGGTTAAGGGGCATCTTTGTCAGGTGCCATTATATAGTTTATTGATCTAGCCACAGGGTAAAAATATCAAAATGTAATTCAATGAAAAAAACATGGTGGAATCCCTTATCTTCTTAAAGCACATTCTATACATTCAATCTGAGCCATATTAAAGGCCTTTTCACCATTCAACAAGATTACAATAGCCAGTTCTAAATTATCTGCCATGATGTCCAAAATACGAATCCCCAAATGGATATTATCAGATACTTGTTCTTCTTTTATAAATCCAGACTGAGATGGGTGAATTATCAACAGTATTAGTTTCTGTAGTCTCCTGGCTAGGGATGCAGAGTTAATATTTTAGCATCCACGTTAAGCAAAATAGTGATTTATAACTTGCACATCTGCTGAGGTGTTTCTCAGGCTTTAATATTACTATAATATAGGCCTCATAAAACCATGGAGGGAATATAGAAGGATTAAATGATTGACAGCATTGCTTCTTGGTTTCATTTTCTGTTATCAATTTGTTCTGTAAATTTTGTGAATGACATTGCCTTACTCTTCAGTCTTTTCTAGATTGCTGGGTAATCTAAAGTAGTTGTTAACAAATTACTCCATCATCTCTTTCATTGTTGAGTCTTATCTACTTCTGTCCCCAATAGAAGTACAGTACCAATTCTTTTCTTTCCTTCCATTTGCAGGTGATAAGCCAACTGCAAAAAGAACTTGGCTTGTTGTCATTTTTGAAACTTTTGTTTAACAAAGTTCAGCTTCTGAGAATTTCATTTACATTCATTAAATCTAGTTGGTTATGAATCATGTTACTACTTTATTCTAGATCCAAAATGGGTTGTGCCTCGTGTCCTAAATGCATCCGTTTATTCAGCAGCATATCCTTTTTGTTTTTGCATGGCTTTCTTTCCATTTGATGCCAGAGAGATAAGCAGTCCTGCAATAAATGCTTTGTGGAGTCCTTGGGGTTCTCTGAGTTTGATACTTTTCTTGCAAACGTTTTGTTACCCGGCTAGGTAACATCTCCAGCGCACAGTTCAACCCTGAGCTACATATATTCTCTTCTAATAAATGCTTTGCTAGAGTCCCATACTATAGATCAGTGGTTCTTAAACCATTTGACCCAACTACCCCTTTTCCCAGTCTCAAATAATATAATGCCCCTCCCTCCCCCCCCCAAAAAACCAAAAACCAGTCTGTTGTTTTACGCAGCAGCAGTCCCAAACTGGGTCTTCAAAATACAAACAAGCAATTACAAATTGCTCCATTACTCTCCGATATACCTAAATTACCCCCATGGGGGTAATTATCCCCAGTTTAAGAACCATTGTTATAGATAAAGAAACATCAGGAGTTAAACTAATTTGGAAGAAGCTGTTTATTTCCTGTTGACACTTCAATTTGATATCTTCTTGTAATAGTAATAGTTCATCTCTTTGGTCTGGAGATTTCTTTGTTTAGTCTTACAATTGTTGCATTATGATTAGCATAAGTAAGAGTTACAACTTCCATATCTATTGGATAAATTAACAGTAACCTAACAATCAGCACCTGTCTATCCTCAAGACACTGTGAACTGAAGAGTAACAAGAAACTTTTTTTTCTCTCTATAGGATATTTATGTCTCGATATGTCCAAAAGAGAAAACAATGACCATTTCTCAAATATCTGAAGTAAAGCTTTTAGCTCAAAGTGACTGAGTTGCCTCCTTTATTTTATGAGGCATATAGTTAAAGCAATGTTATATCCAAGCTGTTAAAGTAAACTGTGAGAGTTTGGGCATAAATCACTCAACATTCATCTATTTATATGAAAAACTTCTTCCATGGCAATGGAGCAAAGTAAATAGAGGCAACTGCCTAGGCAGCCTTCAAAACTGGAACTGAGCCTGGACTAAATAAGCCAGGAAGAAATCAGGAACATTTCTAAGCTTAAGTCCTAGCTCCAAACACAAAAAAAATTTAATGGTGCAGACTGTTCTGTTCATTTTTGGATCCAACTCTTTTAAAGCACCCACAATGTGCACAGGTCTTTAGAAATTATGTATACAAAAATGTAAAAATACATTTAAAATTATAACATTAAGCAAATGAAGGAACTTCTCTTTTACTTACTTTCCCTTGTTATACACTGAAAAGCTAACATTGTGTGACCCTGTAAGAAAAAAAAAAGAATAAAAAGCTGAATGTAGAATTTATGAATGCTGTATTTTAGATCTTTTGCTTTTCAAATGTCTTCACTTTTCATCAGTAAAAGAAACTACCTTCAGAATTCTGACTAGAACATTAAACCCATTAACTGAATTATTTCTACACTGTTGTGCCTTGACATTTTTTTCCCTGGGAAAATGATATTTCTGGTCTCCATAGCTTTCACAAGGCTTTCATTTACTATTTTATGTCTGCTACTTATGGTTTGTCACACTGGCTAGGAGTGTCCACTGGAAATAAAGATAACAGGAAGAGTAAGAAAGAAAAGCTAGTTGACTCCTTGCAAAGAAGGCCAACGTATACATTTTTATATTATTGAATGAATACAGAGTAATATATTATTTTCTCATTTCTACTAACCAATATAGTTGCCTTCCACTTGACACTCTACAGTTCCCAGGCCATGATCTAGTTGAATAGGATATCTAAACAAAGCAAAAGAAAATGCTTTTGATAAGGTAAAAATGTCTTGTTCAAATCAAGAGAAATAATGTTCATTACAGAAATTTCTATGAAGAGGCAATGATACTTGAATTGCTGGATACTGACTTCAGGAGTTCATTGAACATGCAAGCACTGAAATAATGTTAAATGCTTTTAATGTTTCTGATCTTAGGTTAGGACAAACTATATGAATTACTGTAATTTGCAAACAAGAAACATAATGATCATTGTTTTGCTAGAAGAGAGTAATGGCATGCATCTGTGTGGGCCAGCATTCAGGAGTTTGTACCCATCCTTAGATGAGCATGCACATGTACACATAACCCCCAAATAGACAACACTAGTAGTTTAAGTTCAGTATGTGAACATGAGGGGCTCCACTTCTGACTTAGCCAAAGGATCATATTTTTTTCAGTTCTAACTCTAGGTTTGGGTAGATATTTGGGTAGATATTTGCAGAAGAAAGATATTTACAGTCATCTTTTCACATGTTCTGGAACTTGCATAGTCAGAATGCAGATCCTGCAGAGAGATGTTTCTAGGGCATGAACTAAATACATAGCACTGTACAGTATTTGTTTCCAACATATAATGTCCTTTTCTATAGTTCACATATGGAAGCTACTATTGTCATGTGGTCTCAAGAGTTCAAGTTCCAATTCAATGTTGGAAATGTCTGAATAATGTAATTATGTTTAATTTCAGTACTCTGAGAGAAAAAGGTAGTATCTTCCTATCAACTGAACTTAGCCAACAGCCAACAAACAATGGTAACTTCTTTCTCTGATTTTTTTCCAACAGCATGCAACTTTATATATTTTATCACCTTCTATCTTATATATTATCTTGCTAAGCTAAAAAGCCCCACATATTGTACCCATTCTTTATAAGAAAGTACTTCCATTTTGCTTCCCATTTCTGCATCTACAATATAATTTTGAGATTATAACAGCAGAAACCAAAACCGGTCACAATAGTCAGCATGTGATTGTATCATAGGTTTGTATCAAAGCATTTTGATATTGCATACGTAAAAAAGGAGAGGAGGATAATTGGTTAATTAATTAGATATCATCAGGTCAGGCTCAACTTCTGGTGACCACATGGACAAATATTTGCCATCTTGACCCATCTCTAATAATAATCCATCACTCTTCCAAGGACATCATTCATCTTATCTGTTGCCTTCTACTTCTCTATACCAAAGACAGAATTTTGTTTCTAGTCTATCATCTACTCTTCAGAGTTTGTGAACTATTGCTTTCTGATCATCCCTTGAGGGAGTAGTCAGTCTTTATTTGTCCCAGACTGTTTTTTCTTACAGAGTAATTTTTCTTAGTAATCACCTCCAGGTCCATGATTTGAAGTTGTCTTTTTTCTCCTGTTCTTTCTCACTTTCTCAGAATAGTTAAACCAATTATCTTTCAGTGTACAGCTTTGTCTAGCTTTCACAGCTGCACATTGAAAGATAATTGCCTTAACTATTCTGATTTTTGTTGCCATAGCAATATCTTTACTTTTTAAAAATGTTTATTGAGTTATTTATTATAATTATTTATATTTTGCCTTCAGGATAAAAATAATCCCAAGGTGGCATACAGGTAATTGTCCCTTATAATAATAATGATGATAATGACAATAGATATTATTTTAAAACAAGGAAAGACATTTCTAGAATCTTCCCATGGAACAGTTGATGGTAATGGTCCTGGGAAATGAGGATAAGTTCAGCTCAGCAAATTTTGGGGATGGGGTTTGCCTGCCTTCACTTCTCCCACCCAGCAACCTCATCTGAAGCAACCTAATAGAAATCTAAATCACTTGAGACCCCTGGGAATTGAGAAATTTATCAGGAAAGGATACAAAGAGCAGCAGATAGGACCTTCAGGAGCTTGTTAGAGCCCAGCTGAGACTGTAAAGAGCTTATCTACTGTGCATCTAATTCAAGATACACTTTCTAGTTGTACACACTGCGGTTTGTTTTAAAGAAACCCTTTAACAATTGAAATGAAAACTGAATTTTTATGTGGGGCTCAATTTATACCTAAATGTTAATGTATGGATTGCACTTAAAGACCTGAAAGTGGCCCTATAGAGAGCTGGCCTAAAAGGTGTTTCTTTTTTGTTTGTAACCAGATGCACAGCACAGCTCTTGCTGATGAAGGTGATGACAGACATTTTTTTCAACAATGAAATGTTATTCATTTATTTTAGCTTCATGAACTGTGCCAGTTGGTTTGATTGGCTCTCAGTGTAACAGCAATTTAAAAAAAGATAATTGCACCAAGGTCTTTCTGCCCTCCCCCATCCCCTGTTGCCCAGTATCTGTACTGGCATTAACACTGGGACAATGCCCCTAATAAAGCATACCAATTTTTGAATCCCAACCTTGATCTTCTACCTGGGAAAGGAGGGAAGAATCACTATCCATTAGATGGAAAAAGCTTTAAACCCATTAACTGAATTATTTCTACATTGTTGTGCCAGAAGATAGTAAAGAGCAAGCTAAGGTTAATACTTAACCTGTTTTCTTTTCCTGTAAAAATGTCAATGTCCAGCCTCAGAACTTCTAAACAATGACTTATTAAAACACAAGACAGCTTCATTGGTTTCCTGTTTCCAAACAAAGGTCTTTTCATGAACTAACAGCAGGAGAGGGTTTGAAAACAGACTCAACATAGGTCTCATTGTCTCTGAATCCTTACGCAATGAAGTCTCACTGACCAATACTGTAATTGTCAGAACTGATTTCATAACTCAAGATTGTTTCCATCACCATCTTAAATCTAGAAATTAACTTTCATCAACACTTAGCAGTCCAGTCCAGTGTAGAAGGTGACCTCAGTGAATTCTGCAGGACTTACTTTCAGGTGAATGAATGCAGCCTAAAGCTTTTAATGCAGTTCTATGACTAATTTAAATTGACTCAGATATCCTACACCAATACAAGACTTGTCTGGTAAACTCCTAAACAACATGAAGAGAATATAGTGTGAAAGGAATGATGATTTATAACTTACATGCTATGAGTCTGCTGACTGGCAAGAGAACATATAGTTATCCACCCATCTTTTTCTGCCTCAAGGATTACAGGCCTAGTGGTAAAGGGACACAGTTAGTGCAAGCCAGGAAAACATGCCCCAAAATCCTAGCTTTCTTACTGTTACAAATTAAAGTTCAACCTGTATTATGTATCTTTTTCTTCTCAGTAACAATGCAAACAAGCAGAAAACAATACCCTAATCAAGGACCTACCAAGGAGAAAACCACACTCCCACCAACACTGGCAGGGCAAGCTACTGTATTTAAACAGGGAGCAAACCCCACACTCACTAGCACTGGTGATGTTACCTAGTCAGGTAGTGAAACGTCTGCAAGGAAACAACCAAGATCAGAGAGCACCAAGGGCTCCCCTGTTCAACCCTGAGCTACATATATTCTCTTCTATTGGAACTTGGTTATCTCTTTCCTTTTGTCTTACGCTCAGGCACATTTCTCTCCTCTTAATTCTTCACAAAATATAGTAAGAGGTTTACGGGAAAAAATGGAATGCCCCTTCATTTACTATCTATCTATGCACTCTAGGAGCAAATTGAATATTATGTCATTATGTCTATCACCAACAAGAGAAAATCATTTGCTCATAAACCATTTGTTTGAATCCCATCCAGGCAATTGTGTGATCTAAACAGATTAGCAAGACAGTCTTTCCGATCCCATCTTGCACAGCCACATCTCACCACCCTAAGATCACATCTACTGTATCCAGCTTCCAAATACATAGGAATGCACTGGACAGAAACAATAGTTCTATAGCATCTCTATATCCCTATTAACTGAATCTCCAAAATACAGGAAAATACTTCTGCGCATGGTAACTCAAAGAAACAACACCATTTACCCATCAATAAAGTCCATGTTGAAATTGTAGGTTTCATAGTCTTGGGCTAGAATCAGACCATAAATTTGTATTACATTTCCTATTGAGAAAAAAAAGAGCAGAAATTAGAATGTGTCACTTCAAAAACCAAATGGAATCTATATGAAGAGTGAAAATAGGAGAGTGGTGCATTGGTTTCCTTGGTGCAAATTCAAACCATAAAAATATCCTTTGTAAGAAATACAGCTCAGAATAAAACATGTTTTCATATGTATTTAAAAAATTTCATTCAGATATAGGCATAAATGAACCTCAAGGTATTACATTCCTCCTCTTCTTTATTGGCTTATGATAAACTATATTTCCTTTAAAGTCCTACATACATGGTATCACATACAGGACTGCTTTCTCTAGCTAGAAGTGACACACCTGATATGCACATCCTGGGAAAAACTGTTGGTGGTCGCCCAACCTTGCAAATTAGGAGGTTCTGTCCAGAAAGCCTTCCGCTGGAGATTAGATTTGCCCCCACATAAAGGGTTTTTTGAGAGATGATAAAAATGGTGTTCTTCCAGATCATTTGATGGGTGGATGCTGTCATGAAGTTTGATTGCATGTTACCTTCAGTTGTTTTTAGGATTAATTTTATTATGATAGATAGATAGATAGATAGATAGA